GAGAATTCTGCCTCTCTGCCAGCCATGCACTCCTACACTTTCTCAGCTGCCTCCTCTAAAGGGGCCAGGGCCGAGAGCAAGGCAGCCCAAGGAACAAAGGATCTCTCCCTCCCAGTTCCCAGAGTCCACATACCTTGGCCTCAGGGAAACTAGATCCCACAAGACAGCTAAGCCTTGGGATGCCTGTAATTCCTTGGCTAATGCTCCGCTTAATTAAGACATCGACTTTAATGGCATTCTCACCGATTACTTCAAGAAATGGCAGGACTGTAAGCTGATATTTCCTGGTGTGCACGGATATCAGGATATCGCGATGAAATCTCCAAGTCATCATTTCAACACAGGAAGTCATCGGCTACCTGGGGCAGCGCTGCCCCTGCCACACAATTGGCCTGCTGTTACCAGCGATATTTAAGAGGCTGAGGCATCCATGTTTCCCAGGAGTTGGTCCAGGGAAAGAAAAGGATCAATTGAGTACTTTTAGCTCTGCATATAGACCTTCTCAATGTTTGGTTTGCTTTGATGCAAAGAAAAAGTAAGCTCTATACATTGGAAATTTTTCTTTATCTTTTCCAGACTTCTGTCATGCATCAAAGTCAGCTTTAAAAAAAGAGAAGTCAGCTCAAGTTAAATTAGCATCTCTCCCTCTCCTCCTTGGTCTGCCTTTACGCACTTCAGTTCAGAAAAAAATAAATATTATATTTTTGTAAAAGACCAGAACATCTGCTGTTCAGCAGGCCTGTGTGCCACAGCTGCCACCAAGCCCTGGCTCAACCCCAGTGAAGAAGGAGCTGAGCTCCTGGACACATCTCCAATGCAGAACATCAGTGTCCACCAAGTTTGCAGGGAGAGGAGCAGGGATCCCTTCTATAAGAGGTAGGATACATCGCTTTTGAAAATGACTCTTTCTTTCTAACAAAAGGTGTTCTACCCCTCGGTAAAATCCTGCTTTTATAACATGCTGCTTTGCTTTCAAAATAAACTGATATGAACAAATTGCCCTGTGTGAAAGGATAAGGTGACACTGAGTGCATCCCTAAGCTTCCCTGTGTGTAGAGACAAGCTTTTCTGAGATCTTTCCTCATGCACAGAGATCTACCTTGGGTCCCCCTCCCCATCCCCAGGGCTTCCGCAGAATGATGTTAGTGACTCTAGTTGCTTTCATTCATGACTGGTCACCTAGCACCCTGAACAGTTGCTAAGGCCCAGTGGGGTAAACCACTGGTATTAGGCAGCTCTACGTACCCTACGAGCATCTCATAGGGAAGACAGTGACTTCCCAAATGGTGTCCACCTTGGACACCACAGAAGCCCTTCCCTGCCCACAATCCAGGGCAGCACTCTGAGCTCTGAAAGTCGTGTGTACTTGGGAAATGGGAGATGTCATGTTCTCCGATGTTGAGTAATGATAGTAGAGAGAAAAAACGAGTAATCTTCACTTAAACTATGGTGTGCGGTGCAGGTGTAACAAAACCACCGATGCACTAGAGACTGAAGCAAATGTCTGCAATGCCCATGTTCCTCTTTCCTCTGAGTAGCCCCCAGTTCTGTACCAAAGAGCATCCCTTCACCCTCTCTCCCAGCCCATCCGCCTCAGAGCAAGAAATACAAAGCTCCACCAGCGAGGACACAGGGAGGAGACGCCATCTGTCAGCAAAGAAGAGAAGCCTCAGGAGGGACCAGCCCAGTAACACCTGCATTTTGGACTTCCAGTCCCCAGGACATGAGATGGTGATTGTCTGCTATTATCCTACCTATGGAATCGCATTATGGAAACCTTGAGCGAATTAACATTGTGCCACTCTTGACATCACATTTATCCCCAGGGTCCAGCTGGACAGTGTCCATTGTGCTGTACTTCTTGGTTCTCCAAGATAGAACCAATCACCATCCTGGGACATTCTTATGACAACCGTCACTTACACATACTGTCCCCACTTACACTGCACTGGTTACCTAGATTCCTTTTAACTGACTGATCTGTCCACTCCATACTGGACCTAGTAAACTGTCAATCAATGCTTGAGAGCTGAAAATGGTATGGGATGGAATTCCTCAACTTCCAGGGCCAGCCACCTTCTCCTCCCCCAGAGGTTCAGTGGCAGCTTAGATGACTTGGCAGAGGATCAAAGCACAGGGTCTCCCTCAGACCTCCAAGTCCAGCCCCATTTAAATGACTCTGGGGACAGAAAATAAGCACTTAAATTTCTCTCCACGGGTCCTTAGGAAGTGCTGGGTGAACGAACACACCTGGAGGAAAAGATTACAGATGAAACCGAGCACCCAAATCAGACTCGGTGGCCCCAGGTCCTAATCTACACAGCCATCTTCCCTTCAATCGTGCTTCTGGAGCACGGCTGCTGGAAGGGAGTCCATTTGACCCCGGGATCAATTGTCCAATGTCGTTGAACCCAAGCTATCTGTTTAGCAGACAGCAGATCTGAGCATCCAAATCAGCAAGCATCATCCTAGATGTGGGGGTTTTTCTTCCGAGCTGAAATGGATCTTTTGAGAGTCAGTCAAGAGGAAAGAATGCGGAAGGCTGAGAGTGCTGTGGGTACCTCAGTGAGTGAGGCCCTCGACCCTAAGGAGAACGTAAAAAATGGGGATTGTGCTCTTATCACACACTTCCTTGGGTTACCCCTAAACTTCTGAACCTTGCTGGCAAACAAATTCCCCACTGGCCTGCCGCAGCAGCCAGGAGGAAGGAGCATCAGGAGCTCAGCCTCTGCACAGCGTCTCAGCGGCAGGAGCAGACAGTAAGGCACGAGGCTCTCCCTGCCCCCACCGCGGAGCCCATGCCCAGCTGCTTTGCATGAGCCGCCTGTGGGGCAGGAGGAGAAGAAATGCAAATATCATAGGATGGATTATGAGGCTGCGGACAATAGGTTTCCAGCCAGACCAAACATTTGCTCCAGCCAGGTTGCACTTGTAAAAGGAGTTTTGTGCATGATTCTCTCTCCTAGGACTCAGAAATCCCCTTCCAAGACACCAAAAGTGTCTTGTGTAGATATACAAGAATAAATGCACCCCTTTCCCCCCAGACTGGTTACCTTTACAATAACAGTCTTCTTATTTTGGGGATACATATGTAATTGAAGATGAAAGACATTTTGCAGCCTTATGGCAGAATAATGGCAAATTAACAGCATAACTGCAGCTCCTTTACACCTGGGCTGAAGTCAGTTTCAGGCCATGAGAAAGGGGTGCTAGTTGGGACTAACTGCTTGCTTTTCAATATTTCCATAAAACAACTTTTCACAGACATGTAAAAGATACCTTGGCTAATTGTTAATGATGAAAGAACACAGTAAGTTGATGGTCACAGACACCACTTGAGGGCTTGTCCAAGAATTCGTCAAGTAATCAGTTTCAGAATAGATTTGTTTAAAACGCTCACATCTCTCTGATCTGAGACATTAAATTATCTGAGCTGGAACTGAATACAGGAAAGTTGGAATCCAAGGCTCTAGACAACTTGATTCATCTTTAATGGGCCTCAAATGATCCAACTAAGAAATGGGTCTAATTACACCTACTGCATTGAATCTCTGGGAAGTTTAATTAATGCTTGAAAATGTTTTGAGATTCTTAGATGAAAATGGACCACAAACACAGAGTGTCATTATGGAATCTGACCAGAGGCCTTCCCTTCTGCAGGCAAATGAAGTGGGCATTATCTGAATTTTGTCCCTTTGGGCAATAGCAATTTCTGCAGTTCCCCTCTCCCCTACACCTGCTTTTGAACCCTTTAAGATGCCTTTGAGGGCCGGGGATTTAGCTCAGCGGTTCGGTGGCCTGCATTGCAAGGGCAAGGACCCAAGTTCAATCCCTGGTACCAAAAAAAAAAAAA